ACTTTTAAATCATGGAGCTATCGTTAATGCCAGTGATAGATACGGTATACCTTTATATTGCAGCTGAGAAAAGATATTTACAGATTGATGAACATCTTTTACGCCTGTTTTTACCATCTCCGATTACCTTGATCGGTGATTAAGTATCAATCGTGTTGGTCCGTTCTGCTAAACGATTGATGCGACTGGCAGTTTTAATGGAATAATCGGCCGATTAAGTTAATCGAAGATGATGAAAACGGGCGTTAGAACATTGAGTTTCATTGGAGAGTTAATTCTACATATATCTCTTCCTTTACTCCAGGTGTTACACCACTATATTTTGCTATTAAAAGTGGACGTGTAGATGGTGTTAAGATGCTGTTGGACAGAGGTGCTAACGTTAATGCTAAAACTCGGGACGGCACAACTCCGCTTCATGATGCTATTAAATATGAGAAAATAGAAATTGCTGAATTACTTTTAAATCATGGAGCTAACCTTACTGCTAGTGATAAGTCAGGTATAACTCTATATTGCAACTGAGAAAGGATCAATCTGTAATATACAGATTGATGTACATCTTAAAACATAGAGTTTATATTACTCCTTATATTTATTCCTTTATACCAGGTGTTACACCACTGTTCCTTGCTGTTGAAAAAGAATATGAAAAATTTATTTATTTCAACATGATTTGTGACAGACGTGCTAACGTTATTGCTAAAACTCGAAATAGCGCAACATTGCTTTCTAATGCTATTGAAAATAGGGAAATAAAAATTGCTGAATTACTTTTCAATCATGGAGCTAACGTTAACGCCAACGGTATAACTTCTCTTTATATTGCAGCTGAGAAAAGATACAGATTGATGAACATCTTTTAAAACATGGAGTTTAACCCACAAATGGTACACTGGTGCAAATTCGTACTACCGAAAATTTGAGATTATGTATACAAATGGTTTATTTTTTACAATATCAAAAAGAAAAATATTATAACTTAATCTACTAAACGCTCGCATTCAGTACATAGTGCTGAGCGATGATTATCGCACATTCTGGACAAGCAATTCGAACATCTCATACGTGTCTCACACTAGTGTACCACTTGAGGGTTAATTGGAGGGTTAATTCTACATATATCTCTTTTTTTCAGGTGTTACATTACTGTGGTTTGCTATTAACAGAGGACATGTAGATGATGTTAAAATGCTATTGGACATAGATGCTAATGTTAATGCTGAAGCTCGGTGGACTGGCATAACTCCGCTTNATATTGCGATTCAATATGAAGAAATGGAAATTGCTGAATTACTTTTAAATTATGGAGCTAACGTTAATGCCAGTGATATATACGGTATACCTTTATATTGCAGCTGAGAAAAGATATTTACAGATTCATAAACATCTTTTAAAACATGGAGTTTTATGTTAATTCGACATATATCTCTTCTTTTGCACCAGGTGTTACACCACTGTGTCTTGCTGCTGAAAAAGAAAATGTAGAAGTTGTTGCAATGTTGTTAGACAGAGGTGCTAACATTAATGCTATATCATATAAGGATTATAATGACTTTTCTAGTCGCATCGTTTGTGTAGAAATTGCTGATTTTCTTAAACAGCATATAGTTAAGATAAAAGCTGCAAATTTATCCGTAAGTGAACAATTATTATCAATGAGCAGCAATTATGAAATAAGGGATTTACAGGATGAATGTGAAAAAGAAGTAGCAATCATGAAGAATGAGAAAATTAGTAATACTAACATATCATTTTACGATATCTTGATAAAAGATACAAATCTAGTAGCAATATACATGAGAAATGAAAATGTAGTGCAGGTTTTAAGATCAGACGAGTATAAAACAAAATTTCCAATATACTCTAGCATGATAAAAAATCAGTTCAAAAAAGGTATGAAAAAGAAAGAGTTGCTTGAACAAGGAACTAAAATTTTCTATTTTTTCTGTAAATTTCCTGAGCTACCACTTGAGTGTATTGAACAAATATTTAGTTACCTAAGTGATAATGACATAAGAATTTTAATAGATACTTGTAAGTCTGTTAGTGTCAGTAATCTTAATACTGATATTAATGATGATAGAAATTAATTCAAATACATCCAAAGTGCTATGTGTGTAAGTTAAAGGAAGAACAAACTACTTTAAACATGAAATAACAGCTATAAAATCTTAAAGATTATTGCTGTATTTTAAATACAGATTACTATCTTATTTTGAAATTATTTTGTTTTTAAGATTTTATTTTATCCTACTTTTTTGAAAGTTGTTTTTTACGTTTACATTCTCTTGGACGTGTTTTTTTTATGGTGGATCCAAGGAAAACTAGACTGTTTTATATCTTCTCTTTTTTCAAACTTTGTGTCAGATTTTATAACATGTGTATAACGCAAAATTTATATACATTAATTCGATGATACTCTTTTATTGAACAGAGTGTAATACGTGTAATTGCTTTTATTAATTTGAAAACTAAAATTAGATTGGAAAGCTTTGAATTAATCTTTGTTTTTATCACAGATATATGTATGTATTTTCTTTATATATATACACTATATATATATATTTATTAAGCGGTTTTTCACCGCTTCAAGTATTAGTATTGGTAATTCGGGATTACACCCGAATTAATATTTGGAGGCCCGATTTAGTTCGCCGATAAAACTTGGTTGAAAGGGACCGGCCCGGAAAAAATCCTTAGGTGGTGAGCGGATTCGACCTCCAGGTTCGCAGTTCGTGCACTCAGGCCGCGAGACCACTGGGCCGGTCTCTTCACCGCTTCAGGAAGACCATCGTCATCAAATGTTTGAATCGCTGATACAAAACAAAGCTAGTCTTATACAATGTTTTTTAAATTTATAGGTACTAGAAAATCGTACTACTTTTACTTTAGATGTCTTTATATATATCTTAAACATGTATATGTTAACATATATAATATATAATATATTATATATGTTAACATATATAATATCTTAAACACGACCGGCCCAGTGGTTTCGCGGCCTGAGTGCAGAGGCTGCGAATCTGGAGGTCCCGAGTTCGAATCCGCTCACCTCCTAGGTGAGGATTTTTTCCGGGCCGGTCTCTTTCAACCGAGTTTATCGGTTTGATCGGCGAACTAAATCGGGCCTCCCCAAATATTAATTCGGGTGTAATCCCGAAGTAATTTCCTCCCTTCCCCCCTCCCACAAAAAGTTCTCCCCCCCCTCCTTAAAAAGTTCTAAAAAATATGTTTGAGATTCTTTTTCCAATTTCTCGAAATCGCGTATACTGTTCAATCTTTAATCCAACTAAAAACAACCAAGAAAACAAAAAATATACTTATATGACCGGCCCAGTGGTCATTTGCGGCCTGAGTGCAGGGGCTGCGGACTCGGAGTTCTCGAGTTCGAATCCACCCACTATCTAAAGGATTTTTTCCGGGCCGGTCCCTTTCAATCGAGTATATCTATTGATTGGCGATCATAGGTCACATATTTTGAAAAAATAAATAAATAAATTTTATCCTTAGAAACGGATAAAAAATATGATTGAGATATAATGGCATCATCAAAAGAAACGATTGTACTACCAGCGGTACTAATTTAAACGTTGTACGATCGCTGAAAGTTGCAGCCGTTATATCAATTGGTCAAACATCTGTTTGCGAATTTTTATAAAGAGCCGTCTACAATGGAGAGTTGTAGACCGTAATAGTAAGAAATTGACCAATCACAGACGAAGTACAGAAGAATAATCGATTGTGATTGGTCAATTTCTTACTGTTACGGCCTACAACTCTCCATTGTAGACGGCTCTTAAGGGTCGAGTTTTAGACCGTAACAGTAAGAAATTGACAAATCACAATCCGATT